TGCCCAACCCCGCGCCCCGTGATCCATCACTGCCGGCGCACGTCAATACCACCACTACATATACATAAAGTGGTTTGTGGTAGATAGGAGCATTCCCTAAAATGTAAACGAAATGTAAAACGACTGGAACTGCGTGAGCCGCAGTACTCGCCGCTTGGAAGCCTCGTGCCGGTCTGTGCCAGTTTAGCGCCGCACTCTACAGCAACTACCGGGTCACTGGACTTGGTGTTCCAGAAATATTGCGTGATTTTGACAGAACAAGTATTTTGTGACCGTATTTGTATTTTCATCAAGATTCTCTTCACCGAATTTCTTCGACACTAAACAGAGACATGGAAGTCCCTCCTTGTACCATGTAAAACTAAACTAAAACTATTTTTTTATTTTACCAGGTGAAGCTCACAATGCTATGAAGCTCTTTTTCAGAACCAAACCTGGCAACAAATGACAGCTCCAAGAAGTGGCTTATCAAGTCGAAATTCATAGCAGCCAAATACTCTAAACGCACGTTTCTAAATGTAGAGGGAAAAACCGGAGGTCCTGGACAAAAATCCATGCGACCATGGGGAGAACTCCACATATACAGGTGTCGGTGGGATCGAAACCAAAACCTCCTATATACCAGGCAAGGCAGATTAACATTTCGCGGCGCCTTTTCCCCCTACTGCTCAGAGCCCTACAAACTGCTGAGGTAGCCCTGCCCACGACTCAGGTAGCAGTGGAGAGTGATTGGGTCCACAGGTTTAGGCTCCTGCGCGTGCTATGTGAGCCCAGCTATATGTATGCTGAACTTCTTTTGCACCAAACGTATCCAACCGTGTTTATCAGAGGTGCGGGGGAATGACAACAAAACACAAAATGCTCAAGGAGGCGTGTGAGCTCCTCGTGAAATCGGTTTCCTGCAGCACTCGTTCCCCCAGCCTCCATTGCTGCACAGGGGCCGCTGCAGCCTGGAGATGGAACCGTCACTGTGGAGGGGTCCGTGTGGAGTGGGGGTGAGAGGGGGCGCTCAGAGAGTGAGTGGAGTCTCCCCTGGTGACGTCTCTCACAGAAACAAGTGGGAGAGGAGACGCGGGCGGTGGAGGAGAAGAGGAGGGAGGCGGAGGAGTCCGTGAAGCGGATGGAGGCCGCTCGCAGGGACGTGCAGGTACCACGTCTGGACCGGACCCTGTGACCTCGTAACTCCACCCTGAGTAGGGTTTGTGATGGAGGACAACTCCATTCATTCACGTGGACTTCCATTGGCTCTGAACACATCGTGGGACTAAAGACACAACGGTCAATGCGCATCAATACCCAGGACAAGCAAAGAAGTGGTTCTCATCTCCAATGAGGAACTGAATTAGTCGTGGAAATTCCACATTCTTAGGATGGGGGCCTGATATCCCCATGTGAACTGCCACTTCATCTTCTGTTATTCATCTATTCTGGCCAGATGAGGTGGCACATACCTGTTATCCAGTATATTGGTGGCAGGGTCCACATTATATATTTGTTTACAATATGTATCGCATTGTACTATGAACCAAAGTCACCTGAGATCAACTCCCTGCGATGACAAACATCAGTAATGAGTAATATCTGTAAAGCCACAACCGCACAATACAATGCACGCAGTGTGATTTATACGATGTGCATATTCACGTAACCTATGCACGTAGTACACTCCCATTCAGTATATTGAATTGTGCTATGTGAGCATTAAAGTTCATTTTAATTTAAAAGGAGGATTCGACAGCACAGAGACACTTCAAGGTACGGTCACCAAGTTGCATGTCCAGTTTTCACCGGTGCACCGATCTTATCACTGCCCAGTCACGAAACCCAGCTCTCGTGTCTAGTCCCAGCTGGGCTTGTTTTGTGGTAGGAATATACAGCTTGGAGGCGTTGCTGAACAGGCAGCTTAATTATGACCTTTTGCTTTGTCACTCCCCTCGTATTACACACACCTTGCGCAACTCTACGAAAAGATGGGGTTCATATTTTATAATTATTTAAATTCCTCACTTTTTCTCAGATTTGTGATTTACTATTTGCGATTGAGTCCTGTGTAATTTGCAGGGTTATGATAGGTGACAATTGAATTGTTAATTGGCTACCGAGGCCGTGATGCACAGGAGGGGTTCATCCTCCATCAGGTCCCCGGGGTTACAGGTCAAAACGTCTCCCATAGTGTGGGTTGCATACCCACAGTGGCAATACTGTAGATTGACGTTAATGCATCTGTATGGGTCTCGATGGGTCTCTATGTATCTCTGAGTGTCTGCATAGGTTTAGTATACAGTCCATAGTTTGGGTTGTATGACCACATTCACACTGTCCTGGTTTGACTCAAATGGGTCTCTATGCATCTCTATTCGTCTCCATGTGTCTCTGTGTTTCTCTATGGGTCTCTATCTCTATGAGTCTTTGTATCTCTATGGATCGAGAGGTATATCTATGGGTCTCTATGTTTACTTCATGGCCCATAGTTTGCTTTGTGTGGCCAGAGTCGCTTTTCCATTTATGATTGAGGAAAGAGAGGTGTAAATGCCACCTCCCTAAGACATTGATTAATTGTTGCGAAATTAACTCCTCCCCTAATTAGTTAATAAAAACAAATCATACGCCCTGCCAGGGATCGATGACCGGGGAGAGGCAGCGAATCAATGGCGAGTTCGCCCGCATGAGAGCAGCTCTGGACGAGGACGAGAAGGCGGCTCTGGCTCGTGCGGACAAGAAGGAGCGCGAGCTGCTGACCCAGATCGAGAAGAACATCGCTCACTACCAGCGCGAGATCGGCGAGCTCCAGGCAGCAGCCGCTCGTCTGCAGGCCCTAGCGCAGGAGAGGGACTCGCTCGCCTTCCTGCAGGTGAGCGATGAGTCTCTGGTGTCACTATTTGCACAGAGCCCTCGACAGCGTCGGAGTTGAGGATCGTCAATGAGGTTTTCACATCGACTGTGCTTTGTCACGCATGGCCGGAAATTTTGCCCGGTCCTTGCGTGCCGTCATCCCCACTCACGACGATGTTTGCAATGTAAGTCAGTGTTGATGCTCATGAGGTCATAAGCCAAGACTTTGTGGTGTATATTCCACCCGCGCTGTTGCAGTGGGAAATCCACTGATTTTATGGGAATGGAGGTAGTCACAGTAACGCATCTCTCTCTCTCTCCCATAGGGGCACCTGGAAGAGACGTGCAGGTAAAAGACGACTTTCACTCACGACTCAACACACGACAATATGGGACTATCTCGGCCTCGCTCTGCGCTGCGTTGCAGAGCTAGCTGAGTAGATAACCTCGCGTTTCTAATAAACCCTCAGAGCCAGGGTGAACATCTGACTCCGAACGTCATTTATTGAAATTGAACGGGAGAGAGGTAAAACTGGTAAGAAAACAGCACAGATACAGCATTTGTTAATACCCAGAAACACCAACACAATGAATAAACACCACAGCATCATAACATTGTCTATGAATGAGACATTTTGTTATTACAAGTTTGAATCCACTTACTCGATTACGGGTAAGTCACAACAAGGCAAGCTGCAGGCTTTATTGTCAACTAAGCCCCACATTCATCGTAACAATTTAACAGCATTATAAAGGTCCTAACATTATAACAGCATTATAAAGGTCCTTCTAACATTATAGCAACATTGCCAATATTATAAGAACACAAACGAACTTACAGACAATGCTTTCCAAAGTCCCACAATGGTGGCTGCAGCTGTCTTCACGGAGCCTCGATGTGTGCCGCCATCTTGCATTATGTCTGTAATGGCCGACGCCCGCGGGGTTCAGCGGAAATCTAAAATCGCAACTTCCTGGTCACGTGACCACCCCCTGGTTCAAAAACAGGAAATTCCTGTGTACACACGCCCCACATCTGCCGTGAGGCAAGACACTTGCCGTGAGGCAGAACAAGAACTGAGTGCGAGGCGCGGGCAGTGAGACACTGGCTGTGTGTGGGGATGCTGTGTGTGTGATGATGCTGTCAGTAGTGAATCTGTGAGTGATTGTGATGATGCTGCGTGTGATCATGCTGTATGTGGTGATGCTGTGAATGATTCTGATGTGATTCGTGATGCTTTGTGTGATGTGTGTCTATGTGATGGAGCTGTGCTGATCCTGTGAGTGATGATAATCTGTATGAGAAAGTGGTCGTGTCTGATCTGCTTTCACAGGATAGGGCGGGCTACAGCAGCTCCACCCTCAGCTCCCAGCCAAGAGGACATTACCTCGCTTAAAGGCACCGAGGGAACTGTGGCCAAACTCCTGTGTGAGTTATTCAATGTGAAACATGGGTGATGGGGGCCATCTTTACAATAAATGATCACCGTGTGTGTGTGCACGAGGTCGACTCAGCCTCAAATGCTTACTTAGTTTTGTGTGTAAACATCACCACTAGGGAGACAAAGTTGGCCAGGCCTAGTGCTGGCCACCAAGCCCCTAATTTGCTGTGCCAGCTTTCAAAGGTGCTGATTTGCCCCGACAGTCTGTTAAGGCAACACGGGGAATATTTTTCTTCGTTTACATTCTGGAACCTGATCCTGTATTTAAACAAAATCGCCACTAGGGAGAAAAAGGTGGTCGGGCGTGATGCTGGTCACCCACCTCCTCGTGTGACCTGCCAGCCTTCATAGATGCTCGCTAACAGCACTTGCCCCAATTGTCTGTTTAGGCTACACAGGGGATCTTAGTCTTTGTTCACATCCCAATTCAGGACCCTACTGAACAGAGCCATGAGACTTAATATGGCGTTATTGGGTAAATAAACAGCATTTACGAGTCAGGGGTAATTGTGATGTTGAGATGGAGTGTGTGCCTGTGAATGCCTGTGCATTTGTGCGTGGGGGGAGTGGTGGCATAGTGGTTAGCACCAGTGGCGGCTGGTGATATTTATTTTTGGGGGGGCGCATTTTTGTTATTTTATTGAGGGGGGCAAATAAATATAAAGCAGTACCAAAAACCATTTTGACTACTTGAATATAAATTTTGATGATCTTTATTTACATTTCAGACCAAAAGAAGTACCAAAAAGCATGTTTCCTACTTGAACATAAATGTTTCTCTTTTATATACATTTCAGACCAAAGTACCAAAAAGCATGTTTCCTACTTGAACATAAATTTTGCTCTTCTTTCTTTCTGGCCAGCAAATTTCTCAACTACTCTCTGATTAAAGTCAGTCATCTCCGTAACAAGTCTCTTTTCCATGGACAGCAATGCCAGTGCATTCAGCCTCTCCTGGGTCATGGTGTTTCTGAGAAAAGTTTTTATTCGTTTCAAGGTTGAGAAGCACCTCTCAGCTTCAGCCGTGGTCATGGGTGTGGTAATGATAACTTTTAGGAGAGTCACAGTTTCGGAAAAGACTTCTTCGAGATTATTCTCCATAAACAGCTGGAATAGGTCCACAGCACCACGGCAGGCTCTGAACTCTTCCTTGCTGTAGATGAGACTGAGCTCCGTCTTCAGCTTGCTTCCACTGAGCATCGGGTACGCTTTCATGGTGCTGCTCAATGCATCTTCAGGAAAGGTATCCTTGTACTCATCAAACCTGTCCCCCTGCAACAAGGTGGCACAGACAAGGTGGTCTGTGAAGGAGAAACGCTCCCTAGTGTGTTCCAGGATTGTGTCACAGACCTATAGAGATAATTAAACAAATAGATATATAAATGTAAGGTAGTAGCCTGGAGTAGACCACTAATTGTCACAGTTGCAATTACTTTCAAAAGAAAAATAGAGCCATTTGAGTTTTTGTCCTATACAAGACTGTAGTTTTTGGTGGCTTCAAATTTAATTTGATCATTTATTTTTATGTTGCCAATTTATTATTTTTGGGATGCTATTGTATATTAAAATTAAGATTTTTGTTAGGATTTATACCAAACTAAAAATGTTTTCTTGAGTCTGTAGAATATGATATGTAGGCAGGACATCTCTGCAGCACAACAATAATGTAAAATGGTATTTTGACTGATTTCTATAACAAACTCACCTCTGCTGCAATCCTTTCACGGTCTTCCGAACTGAGCGCCCGGCGCCTCTTTGTTGGACGAGAACCACTGCTTTGCTCACCAATGGAGTGGAGAGAGTTTCTGCAAAGGACAAAGATAATTTATTATAATTTTGGCAAATGATAAAGAGAGTTAAAAATGAAAGAGAAAGCAAATAATGATCATATTACAGGAATAAAGTTACCTGATCTTTTGTATTTCTTGTTGGAACTGTTGGATGCTCACTTTGATATGGACTGAATCAATGTTCTTTTTCTGGAGCTTGGCATAGAGGAAGTCTACATGTGGCATGATGTGGTGATAAAGTTCCAGAAAGAACTTAAAATCCTCATCCTCCAGTAGCATGGTCAGGGCTCCTGCTTCTCTGACAGTATTGGGGTCGAAGTCACCTGAGTCTTGTATTCTCTCAAAACAGTGAATGAGATCCTCTCTGTGCTCAAAAACAGTATTAATGGCACGGCTATGAAAGTTCTATCTGATGTTGCTGGATCTTGGCAGTCTATGGGCAACCACTTTATCCAGAAAACATGTCCGCTTGGGTGACTTAGAAAAAAAGCTGGCAAATCCACCAATGTTAGAAAAAAATATTCTCGTCTTGGATATGTGAGACGTGGCCTGTTGCATTATCAGGTTGAGCTGATGTGCCTAGCAGTGGATGTAGTGGGCATTTGGGTACACATCTTGTATTTTTCTCTGAACACCTGCAGTGGCACCCCTCATCACGCTGGCCCCATCATATGCCTGGCAGATGAGCTTACTTTTCTGATCCTTAGGAAGGATAGAAGCAAGACGCTATTTTAGTGCAGTAGTAATGGACTCAGCTGTAGCTGACTGCAGAGGGATGAACTCAAAAAATCTTTCCTGCATGTTATTTTTGTCGTCGATGTATCGCAGCACAAGCACAAGTTGGGACTGTGTGGCAATATCTGTTGTTTCATCTGCCTGGATTGATAAAAAACTACTTGTCTGGACTTCTTTGATTATTTCTTCTCTTGTAACAGACAACATACAGTCCAGTAGCTCGTTCTGTATAGTTTTCGACGTTCCCTTAAATACAGTAGCACTGTCAAGGTGCTCTTTCAATGCTCCATCAAGAGAGGCAACAAAATCCACCAACCCGCGAAATATACCGGGGTTATCTGAGCTCTCACTCTCATCATGGCCACGTAACGCCAACTCAAATGCTCCACAAAATTTCACACAGTCTATTATCCTGGACAGTATGTGTCGATTTTTTGTCACCTCTTCGTTGTGCCTTCTAATGCCAATCCTGTAGCCTTCATCTAGTTGTTCAGCAATGCTAACTCTGCCCAAAAACGTTAGTTTCATGCTATTATCAATATGGCTGCGGCTACTTTCATGACGTTTGCATTTGTCAGAGAGATGTTTGAGGTCTCTTACCCCCGTCGTTGTCCACAAAACTTTAGTGCCGACACTTTGAAATAAAAGACAGGGAAAACAAAAAAGAGAATTGCTAACATCACATCCAGCCAGCCACCTCCGTTTCTCATAACAAGCGCGGGTGAAGCTTCGTGTGTAGCTTCGTCCTCTGTCACTGGCCTGCTGCTGGATTTGTAAATCGGGTTGGTCCGGTCCGAGATCCTTTATCTTTTTTATTTCTTCCAGCGAAAGCCTTGTGAAAGGGTTTTTTTGTAAATAAATTACAGAAATTGGATGAACTGCTGCCATTGTTTACACAAAAAATTTGATCAGCCTAGCAAGTGTCGAAGTGGTGTCGCCTGCGCACTCGCAGTAGTGGCCCAGAGCGTAAAGTTGAATGACAGGTGACGAGAACCAATCAGATTGGATAAAATAACATGTATCCAATTCTGATTGGCCAGGGACGCAACGACTTGCGCCCTGAGGAGAATCTTTAAGAAACCAATTAGAGACCAGCTTCAGGTCACATGCTGTCCGAAAATTTAAAGTCTCACATAGACATCCATTTGTCCGGCGTCCCGCATGAAACACATTGAAAAACATAGAAAATAGTTGACCGATTAAAGCCAGTTTTTATTAAATGCTGATGCTTTTCTTACTACCAGCCGGCACATCATATGAAAAAAATATTTATTTATGTATTTTTATATAATTTTTGTATATGTATATTTCTTGAATCTTGATGGGGGTGGCGCCCCAGCGCCCTCTATTGACAAGCCGCCACTGGTATAAATGTGTATAGTGTAGTGTATAATATAGTGTATAGGGTAGTGTACAGTAGTGTATATTGTAGTGTATACTGTATAGTTATGTATAGTGTCATGTATAGTGTCGTGTATAGTAGTGTTTCCTATAGTGTATGGTGTAGTGTAATGTATAGTAGTGTATAGTATTGTGTAGTGTATAGTGTCGTTTATAGTAATGCATAGTGTAGTCTATTGTAGTGTATTGTGTAGTGTATAGTAGTGTCGTGTAGAGTATTGTGTAGTATTCAGTGAAGTGTATTGCGTAGTGTATACCAGTGTATATTGGAGTGTATAATACTATAGTGTATAGGAGTCTATAGTAGTGTACAGTATAGTAGTGTATAATAGTGCAGTATAGTAGTCTAGAGTAGTGTAGTGTCTAGTAGTGTATAGTATAGTAGTGTAGTGTATTGTGTCACATCGTACAAATAAGTGACAAACGAAAATACAATGGAGGGTGGGGTCCACCTGCATAGGGAAAGCGGGTGATTGAAAATTAGAACCACCTGCAGCAAACAAAGTGTCAGTCACCACCAGAGACTAGAGGGTGAATGGAGGAAGACCCCAGGCTTCTCCGCTCTTGAGCTCCAGCCAGCAGGGAACGAGAGCGGTACCCAGAAACCGACCACGCTTCCAGCTTGGACACCCGGTGGGGAGCAGGGAAGGGGCAGAGGAGCACAAGGAGGCTGCCTCTGACACCTCCCTATGGCAGAAAGGAGCCAGCAGGCGCCGGCTCGCATCCTTTCCTCTGATGACGACGGTGTCAGGTCGGCGGTGGTGCACGACACGCGGTGTCGAGCTTCACCCTGACGTCGGGTTGCTTGTGAATGTAGCCCAAAGCAGATGGTAAACGCCATCTGAGCCTCAAAGTGCCTTAAGGGTGTGTGAGCGTAGGCTCAGATGTGCGTGTCGGGATGAAGGGGTCATCCTGTGTATCGTGAGCGCACCGCGTTTGCCCAGAGATCTGCTACGGCGTGAAAGTCGGCAGGGTGGCGGGTCTACTAACACTGGACAAAAAAATAACATTTTTTTCTGGCCTGGACTTTTGCAGCTGTTTTAGACTAATTTCAGGGTGCTGATTTCAAATCTGATCTCAGATTTGCTCTATCACATCTCATTTTTATGCTATCGGCATACCCCATTTTCATTGATTTTACCCGAAATTAACTCTGTCACTTATGATTGCAAGTTGTTGCGAGTCAGTGACTGCTTTAGTGTTAAAATATGGTGCTGTATTTTTAGGATAGTATGTTTATAATATCATTTTATGTAGAAATCCACATTTATTTAATATTTTTCTTCTGCAGTTTTTATTGAAAATGCAAGATTTGATACAGTATCTCAAAAACCTGATGTGATAGACAACAATTGATGCCAGATTTGGAATCAGCACCCCAAAATTACATCAAACCGTTGGAATACCTTATGCCATAAAAAGTGTGTTGACCAATGTTATAATTAAAGACAAACCAACCCTCTCGAATCGCCTCAAAGTTTTGGTATCAATTGATCTCTCGCTAGTCTCGACCCACACTATACACGGGCGTGACTTGGCTTACCAAAAATATAGTGGCGGCGATACAGGTGAGCCTGGAGAAGTAGGCAAGAACCAAAGTAACACATTGTAGTGTATAGTGGTGCAATGTATAGTGTAGTAGTGTGTTATATTGTAGTGTGTGTGGTGGTGGTGCTGTGTGAGGTGGTGGGGAGTACGTGTGAAAGTGAGTGTGTGTGAAGTTAGGTGCTCATAGTCTGTGGACTATACAGAGGGATCGTCATCTGTGGGTGTATGTGTAGTGACTTACTCAGAGACACTAAGAGTAGGAGGCACTTTATTAACACGGCCTTAACAGTTCACACTTGGTAACTACGGTTCCCAGTCAGGACAGCTGGTAGAATGATTGACTGGCGATGCCGAGATGGTGAAGACGGAGACGATGGTAAAGACTCCAGCAGCATGACGAGATCCCACTCCAAACGACAGCCCCGAGGTCCCCTCCCTGGGCCCCTCTTATACAGATAGTCCCCGAGTTACGATGGTCCGACTTACGATATTTCGATCTTACGATGGCGATAGCGATACGACAAAATTGTAAAATATTTTAAATTTCGCGCGGCAGGCAAACGCAGCAACATACGAGGTACGATACTGTACGTTGGGACGCTGCCGGGATGTACGCGTCTCCCACCTTGTGTGATGCCTCACTCTCACCAGCAGTCGACGGAGTTAAGTTGTCTCGGTGTTAGCGTGTTTATAGGATTGTTTCCTGAAAAAACTTTCCATTAAATTGCAGTTCATATAGGTAGGCTAAGAATTTACCTTGGTTTTTTTTCCTTTACATTTTACTGTGCAATACAGTATTGTAATTAATACATACATACAGTATATAGTTTCTACAGTACGGTACTATAAATTGCTCTGTTTTGCTAAATTACCACTATTCTTTAAGACTCCTGGGTAGGCTAGGCCATCTTCGACTTCAGATATTTTTGACTTACGATGGGGTCTTCATAATGCATCTGTGGGGGCCGTTGGCCCCCGGGGTCCCTCCCGCCTGCATCCCCTATTCGTTTACGTTACCCCACCTCCCTATTACCCGCTACGGTTTCGCCGGCATTCGAACGCGACGCTCCTACGATTACAGCCTCGCGCCGCGCTCCCACGCTGCGAGCATACGTGCGCACATCATCGTCGATCAAACGCCGTGCTCGCAGTATAGCCCTGTGCGGCACGTTCCCAATGCGCATCCGTATTATACACGTAGTGAACGTGCGCGCACACACGCATACAGCTCCACACGCGATACCCACTCTTGCGCCGCTCTGCGCAGCGCTCGCCGCCTGCTGGCCGCTCACGTTATGAGCACGCACCTGGGGGACGCCGATTACGCACGCACGCCCACACACACGCCGCTCCGCGCACTCCAACTCAACTCACGTTATACTCGCGCACCTGTATCACACACGGAGTGAACACACGCGACACCCACTCTCGCACCGCTCTGCGCAGCGCTCCCCCGAGGCGAGCCGCAGCACCACAGAATCACTGCGTACCCACGCGCAACCCGCGCGCTCAGCTCCGCGCAGCGCTCACTCACGTGGCGAACCACTGTGCACACAGCGCACCCACACGCTCACACTGCACGACAAGATCACGCGAGACCACGCTTCGCT